ATCGTGATGTCACGAGACTCGATCTTTTGATAAATTTTTCTGCACTTTACTGTTATTTTATCCAACAGAAGACTTCCTTCCTCACAAGTGTGGGTGAAAGGTGAAACTACGAAGCATACTTCGCCGAAGGTCATTAGCCATCATTGGTTCAACTGAAGGGCGGTTCCGCCCGAAGACTAGAAAGATGGCAGCATAGATGCTGATGGTGGTAAACGCATCATAGTCGTCGCTTATCATGATCGCAAACACCTGGGATGCCACATGCCTTGAGGACTCAAGTGGCGTTCGCTACGTACCATGCTAATGCTCACGTGTAGCCCACGCTGGATGAGGAATGTAATAAACCTAATAATGGATGAGCTTTCTTCTAGGATTTATGTTCAGCGAGCAATTATAGGCTATGATTAAGGATAAGTTAAGAGGTAATTATATCCAAAACAAATTGGCAGCCAACTTTAATTTAATAAACTAATCCCTTGTAAATTACATCTTTTATTCTCTCTTACCCTTCTTCTCTCGCGTAATTATCCACAGGCGATCAAATTTGTAAATAATTTATAGCAGGATTAAGCATGAGTCTGAATTGTCTCAACTGTCAAGCCATAAGCAGGACAAATTCAGACAAAGATCTTAGAGAATTTCGATTCATTAATGTGGAGAAACCACATTTGAGCCTGTGGTTGACAAACCGGCCACCTTATGATCATGTCGTGAAGAAGTCGCCTCATCGTGCTCATATGTCTGGACCCATTGCTGGTTTTGAGGGTGAAAATGGCGTGCCGAAGTTAGTAAGAAGTGGTGGGATGAGAAGAGATTGGAGCTTTGAGGATATGAGACGAATCAAGGGATGATAATTACACAATTTTTGTTTGTTTGTTTGGTAAGGACGACTGAATAGAAATAAAAAACGAGAAAATGCAAAAAAAAAAATCTTTATCATAATTGCAATCATATTTTGTACTATGTACTTTTTGTAAATTTTGTGTTCATAGAATGTGTGTGTAAAAATTGCTTGTTGATTTGTTCCTCTCGTTTGTTTGAAAAAGATTAAATTGTAATAGTGAAATATTCATTATTTTTCTTCTCTTTTTGTATTTATTGATTTTTACATTCTTGAATAATGCTAATCATATGCGCTCGTGATCATAAGCAGTTCAAGTGAACATTACTCATTTGATAAATTAAAAGGGACCATCAGATTTCTGATTTTTTTTTTTTTTGGACGTTGATAAAATCGAGTATTGCCCACGTGAACACTCACATGGAGGGGACGACCAAGCATTACTCTGAATTTATTCTTGGGTTCCATTAATTTCTCATTTTGTGTTACCTCATGGCCATATGTCTTCAATAACTTCACAATAAGAAAACTATTGTTGGATTGAAATCTTAAAAAACGTTTCTATTCATGTAATTTGAGGAGAAATGAATCATGTAGTAAGAGAACCTGGTTTTCGTTATAAAAACGTGTGAACATGCTGCTAATTAACAATGATTTCACGAGGCTACTAGGAATAGGGTTTTTTAATATAATTTATATGAGGTTGCCTATAACAAAATCGTCCCTTACCTTTTAACTCTATGCACAACAATATGACATTGACAAAATGCTCCCATCCCATGTTATACTGGATTATGCTAGTGATACATAAAAAAATGTACCTAAAGAGTTACACCCCCCTCCCATGGCTTGCATAAAATATTTTTTTATTTAAGTGGACCCCCATGTGAGAGGGGTTATACCCCTTAGGTACACCCTTAGGTACCATTAGCATAATCCTCTTATACTACCTTGATACGAGATGAGATTTCCCTATTAGTCGGGAAATTAGACAGGGATGGGAATATGATCTCTCACCTCTTAATTTTCCTTTTTAAATTTAATTTCTATTTAAAAACAATATAAATAGATAAGCAAATGAAAAACTAGGATAAAAAATGAAGATATTTCAATCTCAACGTCTCTCTCAAAAGTCCCCAAAAGCAATGGAGCAACGGCAAGAAGAACCAGACCGCCTTACCCCCCTTGTCATCCCTAATATTGGAGTAAGAATAGTGAGATGTGCTACAAGTACACAAGAGTGTACATAAGAGTGTCCATAATGGACACTCGGCTCCCTCCCATTGGAGGGAGTGCCGAACCCACCAATACTCCATCCAATGGGAAGGCGTCGGTGTCCATTATGGACACCCTTATGTACACGTTTGTGTACTTTTAGCATTTTTCAAGAATAATATCCCTTCATTTTTATCTTTATATTAGCCGTGAAGAAAAGGTAGCGATGATTCTCAAATGACGGTCCAAAA